CAAAGGACAGTAACTCCTTAGTTTATAACGTGAAACCTGAAAGAAGTATTACTGCAGTGAACAATCTAGAAATGGTAGCAACAATAGTACAAGTGTACAGAAGACATGAATGCAGATGAGTGACAATAGAGAACAACTTTAATGGACTCTGTATTGTAAGCATGTGATCTCACTCCACCTTGGGTTTTGCAATATATGCATTTATGTATGTTTGATGACCAACGCCATGGGCCCAAGGCCTTTAGTGCTGTCTAAATACTATTCCAATGATTCATCTATAAAACATCTCCACTGCTTCCAAATACTTTTTTGCTAATCTTCTAATAATTTATCTAGGAGAAAATGAGGCTCACTACACTCTCCCCCACCCTAAAAAAATGTTTTACATTTTCAATTAAATTAGGTGTGATCATTATTTTTATGTCTTCTTTGAATATGATAATGTTAGACCTTTGTAGTAAATCATTTTTGACAAGTTCATTTCTAATCAAGTTCCTTTTTTTCCTTTGGGTCTACAATTTAAACAATCTAAAATGTCATCAGCTAGGTCTTTCCACAATTGTGAATTCCTTAATGGGATCCTCACTCCAGGCACTTCCCGTTTAGTACGGAAGACCAATAATCTGGCTCCATAGGTATCCCCACCCAGTTCTAAAGTTGGTATACAACTGAACCCCTCTCCAGGCACCCCCAATTTGGTGCAGAAGTCCAAAATCTTGGCTCTAAAATCCAAGTGTGACCCAATGAAGTCCCACCCTCGCTATTCCCATTCATGTTCCCATCTTGAGGTATCAATGAGTGTTGATCTTGAGGTATCATAGGCTTCTCGTACTGTAGTTTTCTACCAAATGTTTTGCCATGTTTAATAGTGTTGAGATGTGACACACATACCCAGTGCCAGAGCTGCTGTCATTTTGATCTCGGTTTCCAGTCAACACACTACCCCGTTTTGTAACTGTCTTTGTAATTTTTGAAAGCAGATCCGACTAGAAGGATCTGGTGTCGACACTTTCTTGTGTTGCTAGGTGCAGATTGCCCACTGCACTTCACCACACTGTAGTCGGCAACAAATTTTGAATAATAAACAGGGCTTCAGAACTGCTGTAGAGGGACAGCCCTAGTCATACGTCATCCATGAGTAGACTTACTGGTAATTTTCCCTTGCTACCATAGATGACTGCTCCTGCCACTGTCACTATCTACAATATTTCTGTTGCTTTCTGTTGACGGGTGGCAGAAAATTTGAATCGTGGACTTTTATCTACCAGCATTCGTAGCCTGGAATTTGTTCAAACGTTGTTCACTCTGTAAACAATCGGACATGGGGTGTCGCTACTTCGCCTTTAATCTTTCCCGCTTACTTTCCTTTCAAACTGGTACTACCTGATGTCAGGCTGATAGCTAATCAGTTCCTATGTTTAAGACTTCACTGTCCGATACAAATTTCCCATCCTCTATTGTTTGGACGAGCGATGACTTTCTTTTGTTTTCTTCTGACTCTAGTCATTCCAAATTACACTTACACAGTTTATTTGTTCACTCGCTGATATTGCAGCCAGTAAATGTTATTGGACAGCATAGTCACTCATATCTATCCTCACTTATCTAACATGTCAACTTTACCTTATAATATGTCTTCCATCCAACAAATGAATGAACAACAACAATTCCATCTGATCAAAACACATTCTCAGCTGGCTATGACTTCCGTTCGCCGCTACTGATGGCCAGGTAGGCATTGGAAAACACTGTGCAGACACGTCGGACTTGAACACTCTTTCCGCAGACACTCCATCATACTACATGTATTCAGTTCCTAGGCCTAAACGAGACTCACTACCAGCTCTTTCTCAGGCATTATATACCTTCTAATGCCCTTCTCATGCTTTTGAATTCGTGTTCTCCATTTTACACGAAATACATTTGGCCAGCAGTTTTTGTGTGACCCCCGTGAATAATTATACTTCACATGAAGTTAGACTATCAGCTTTTCTCTACAATTCGTGTGAAGTTAGAAGCAATTCACGTGATTTCCCAGTTAGACTCAAAATATTCCACTCACATTAATTACTGACGTCATTCCGTTTAGGCATAATTTATCTAGGAGAAAATGAGGCTCACTACACTATCCATAATTTCACTTCTGTATATCAGGAGAAGATTTTTATAGCTCTTTAGAATTTTTATTTCTTGTTTTAACTGACAAAGATTGCATAGAATATTCTTGATTTTTTAAAATGCTGCCTCTGCTTGAGTGATTCTTCATACAACTTTTTAAATATATCTTACATTTACAGAAAATTTATAGTGCTAGTTGATTTTAATGCCAAGGTTTGGCAGGAAAAAGAGGAAGACATTAAAGGTGGATATGGTCTTGGGGGAGAGATCTGGTTGAATGGGTTAGGTCACATAAATGATAATAGGAAACGACTAACTTTAAATAACAACCTAGATGCCTGAAAACATGGATAAGAACTGGAAATTATTTTTAGAACCAGACTGATTACATAATTATAAACATCTGGTTAGCTGGAGAAATATTTGTTAGGGCATAATTATAGTTGAATAGTTACACAGACCTCCTCCTACTAAACTCCATATTATAGCTACCTTGCAGCAGTCCAGACCCTAAGACACCCCAGCAAAGGAAGCAGACCCAACGAAATAGAAAATTTTGATGTTAACCATCATTATAAATTTTGGCTGCTATCTCATAAAAGCTTGGATACAAGCTGGCAACAAAGTGACATGCTCAGTTGCACATATCAAAACAGAGAGCACAACATAATAAACACATGGCTAAGCAAATTGGAAAGGAAGACCATAACCAAGGCATAGGTTACACATTGGAAAGACTGCAGCAAAAGGTGACCTACTTTCCAAGTTCAAAGGAAACCAAGAACCCAATACAAGATCAAAGAAAAGACAAAAATCCCATCAATCAAGAAACTGGAAATTGAAACTGGGCTACGGGTAGACAAGATTAAGAACCCCTTTTGCAGCGGGTATAGAAGATCCAATTCAACTGACATGAAATGAACAAAAAATTGATCTGATAAAACACCACCAAAACTGGACCAGAACTATGACATACAAAGATTGTCTACAAGTAAATAGCTAACCAGAAGTACAAATAGTAGTCAAACAGCACATAAACAGAACAAAGTAATCTAACCTACAACACCTGCAGATATGTGTCCAACCAAAGATCAACCCACTTGAGCGAACCACAGTGCTGGGACCCTGGCTTTTCTTCTACATGTTTTTTCTCCTTTCTTTACATGATTGTTGCATTATGAGGAGAGAGAGAAAAAAAGAGAAGGTTCACACTGAAAGGGACAGTGATCAGTGTAGTGGCTTGTTGGTGTGGTAGGTCTGATGACTTGGCCCTTGCCTTGCCTGGGACCTCCTTTGATCTCTTGGACAGGGACCTAGCACCGACACCCAACACTAGCAGCTCGGGGGTACAGACAAGCATTGTGACAATATCCAAAGAAAGCACAATAATACCCCGAAGGCAAGTAACTTCAAAGCACAGTGTGGAATCTAGCCCCTGTCAGATCTACCAACCCTGTCTACACAGGTTAGCAACCTTACCAGCTCGGACCTTGACAGGCTTGAATAGCATGCGGGCACAGAAAAGACATATCGGGCACCAACGTCTGCCCCATAAAATAAGCAAAGAAGCACCACAAAGACCAGTGACCATAAATATAACTAAAGCATAACCAGAAGCGGGTTCAACATCATCAAAGTTTTTTTTTTTCTCTCCAAAACAGAATACTTAATTGAATACATTATGTGTGTTGGAAAGCCTGGTGACCTTCTACAATAGAGACTGACCATAGTCCATATATAATTTAAAATACCTCTTTGAGTTTCAAGGTACAGTTAAGTAAGCAAGGGATTCTCACTTTCTACCTAGTGGCTTGGGGTCTGAGCTGGTGTATTCCCTTATGCTTCTTGTAACCACAAGTTCACTGAAGTGATTACACATTACCTACTTTTCTGAAACTAGTAAAATTCATCAAAATATGGTCATCATTCAAAAAGTACAGAATGAGTAGATAGATTTTTTATACTTAATGAACTAAAGAACAAATCAAACGCAGTGTTCATGCTTTGAAAAATATGGCCAGCAAGGGAAACAACTATGAATGTTGACTGATTGACATTCAGCTCCACCAGGACTTCACGAGGGATAAACACCAGGTGACACAAAGTGCCACCATTCTGATAAAAATTGCCTGGGCACAAGTCCCAGAAACCCTGTTCAACTGGTGTGGGGGTTTTAAAATAACTGACTGATTTTCTACCCCACCAGGACATCACACAAGCGGTAATACCCGATGACAAAGTGCCACCATGTGGATCACCGTCACAGTGGAGATGTCCCAAAAACCGCGTTCAGCCTTTAGACCATATTTATGGCCAGGCTATATTGCAGCCTCTGGCAAGAGCCAGAGTAGGGCTTCAAATAACAAAAAATATCCTCCCAAAAAGGATGGGAGATAGCACATTTAAATTAACAATTGCATCCCATTGGATTGGATTGGCTTTTTACCCCACCAGGACATCACACAAGCGATAAACACCAGATGACACAAAGTGCCACCATGCGGATGAGGATCACCGTGGAGAGGTCCCAGAAACCGCGTTCAGACATTTGGCCATAATGATGACCTGCCTATATTGCGGCCCCTGGCAAAAGCCAGAGTGGGGCTTCAAATAACAAAAAATAACGTCTTAAGAAGGACGTAATGAATTAATTTGCATCCCATATTGGGACATAGTATATATTAATAATGTTAACTACATTTGCATCTGTGTCCCATACTGTGTATATTGTTAATTAAAACCCTGCTACAACAAACTCACTTAAGACAAACACTCAGTTACCATGAAAACCAAATTTAAGGACGCATTATTCAGTACAATAAAACACAGATAAATAGAATAAAACATACAGATGTGATCAGCTCAGTAAAGATTAGATACTGTTATTTATAATATTCAGTGTAGTCTCCCCTTGAAGGGTATGGTGACTTCTCTTGATTATGGGCCATGTCGTACACCAAATCATCAGGCTGTGGTACATACAGGGAGTTGAGTATGCAGATGTAGGCTGAACATATTATGATAGAGAGCACCTGTGGGGAAAACAACGTAAACACATGAGGTATAATAAAGGAATAACAAAGTCAGTATAGGACCCTTTTTTATGCTTTTAGCAACTGGTCAGTCATGTTGTGGTAGACTAATAATTGTATACACCATTCAGCATACACTGGGTTATGGGATCAACATCAGTATGGCCACCTTCACAGCCAATCCTGGACCCATTTTATTCTGGGATGACCTGGCAGCATCTTTATCTGTTATCTTTTACAGCACTGAGTGTTAAAGGAGATATAACACTCTGCTTCTTACTCTTCTCGCTACTTCAGCCGTAGACATAGTGTATTGTTATAGTTTCTCTTGTTATATTTTCATTTAGTCTTAGTCTGCCTCATTCTTTACATCCCTTTACTCATTTGGTGTATGTCTTGTCTGACAAGGTGTCACAAACCATTTTATTTCTGTCTTTATGTATAATTTAGCAGTGTTTCTGTGCCACAAGTTTCTTTTCTTCTTTTTCTTCTTCTTCTCTTCCACCATTTACCTCAGCAAGATGTTTTGGGGAGATGTAAGGATCGTTTTTGCACTTTTTCAAATGCTTTTTATAAATTGGTGTTCAATACTGTTAGGTTGCTCCTGATGTTGTCGCTCCATATATTGCATGGTCTTCCCCTTGCTCTGTGTTCAAAATATTTCTTCAACTTGGCTCTCTGTGGCAGCTAGTACCAGGGCATTCTCGTCAGGTGGCCAAACCATCTCATTTGTTGTTCTTTAATTAATAATATGACTGGTTTCAGTCCTAGTCTTCTTCTAATTTCTTCATTCTTGAATTTATCTCTTCTTGTCCCACCGGCAGCTCTCCTAAGACAACTCATCTCTGTTGTTATAAATAAAAAAACCAATAAGACCTTTTATGGGGTGCCTAGTTGACCATGTTCTTAGTGAACTTGTATCCATATCGAGGCGTCATGCCATTTGGATGTGACAGGTTCAATTTCCTTCATGGTAACTATATATTTTGATTTTTATGTTGTCTAGTGTGTTCTTCTATCTTTCTACTTCTTTCTATGAGTGCGGTTCAATACACTTTCTGTTACTGGATTAATTCATAATAATCTCTGTTGTTACATACTTCTGCTGATTATTTGTAGTAAGGGTCCATGTTTGGCACTGGTAGTAAAATGTCAGCCAAAAAACTGTTCTTATGAGATTTGCACTGGTACAAGTTTCTCATTTAACTTAATTTCTAATTGTTATCTCTTCTGGTCACTCACAGTCCTACATCAGTTCTGAAGCTCAGTCACCACTTGGATAATGCAGGATTTAGCAATGGAGTACCTGTATTGTAATGTATGAAGTGCTAATGTTTGCTTGGGAGTTGCCATAAACCCCTTGAACATAAAGGCCCAATGCTAATGTTATTTGATCGATAATTAAATGCTTTTTAAAGTTACTTATCACTTGTGTAGGCAGGACCTGGTCTCTGCTTTGGTGTTAACACAAAACTGATTACAGTGTACATCTGGATTTAAATATCTACTGAAAGGGAAAATAGAACTGGTAAGCTTTGATAAATGACAAAATCAGTAGTAATTGAATTAATGTTGCAGCTAGAGAGCCTTGTACATAACACAGGCAATGAAATAGCTAAATAAAGTCTAACATAATTTGACTTAGTTAATTAAAGACTGAAGTCTGAATATTTTCTTGGTACTCTAGTTTACTCTGTTATACACAATTAAAAACAGAGAGACTTAATAATTGGGTGAAATTATAAATGTTATTGTAATATTATAAAACTATCATCATCAGGAGCTACCGTAACATAGTGACCAGATGCTTGCCTGAAGACCTAAAGGTCCTGGGTTTGAATCCCCATAGAGGGATATTTTGGCCAAGTTGACCAAAAATCATACCTATTGGACAAATTATGATGTTTGAATCTGGACTTCTATCATGCAGTAACTAGTATGCCATCAAGACTCTAAACATCACAAGGATGGAGATGGGGAGGGGGGGGGGCACTTTATAATCCTATATTTATAGCTTTGAAAGGATGGGATGGGGGAGTGGGGTGGGGGGGGGGGTGAACAACATAATAATAAACAGCAACATAACATACCTGTAAGATAAAGAATGCAGCAGGTATTCCAATGATTGCTACTATGTACTTATTCAGGAATTGCTGTAGCTTTTCTGTGCAGCCCTTAACACAGAATATGCACATATATTATTAGGCTATAAACAGGTTTAAGGAAAAATGCCAAGAAAGACATCAATGTAAACAGTATGTAGAGCTGATCAACTTCAAATGATCACAATCATAAATAACCAATGAATATTGCCTCTAGAGCGCCTTCGTCAACATGTAAAAGATGAAAAACCTGATAATTACAAATGATATTACTTAAAATCATTTATCTGTATGTAAGATTTTGCCTACATAATTATCCTTACCATGTCTCAAAAGCAGAAATGAGTCAAGTATTATGCAGTAGTATTAGCAAGTTCATCACTAAAAAATGTGTTAGGTAGAGCTGTGTTGAACATTGAACTTTAAGGCCCTTAGGTGAGAAAGAGCCCATTAGATAGATTAGACAGTTCTCTAGAGACTTACAGACTCTTTCATTGGCATGGCTAGACTTCTTGGCCATAACTTCTATGTCGAGGACACCTCAGTAACCATGGGAATTGAAATTGAAAGGCACTGGTTCGGAGGCACTGTTCTGCACATAGAAAATATGCTGCCTAAACCTGTTCACTAGACTTTGTCTCGTTTCACTAATGTACTTCATGCCTCTACAATCAACTATATGGATAAACGGTACAACATGTAACTCAAATCAGCCCCCCCCCCCCCCCCCTATATGGGTTCCAGGGCCCCATTGTATGGGAAAACAAGAATAGACCCACTACCTCCCTTACAAGAATGTCATAAGAGTTGACTAACTGGAGGATTCCTTTACAGTTGGAGTGTGTCTACCCAAGGGGCAAGGAACCAACAGTCTGCATTTAATTAGGCCAGATTTGTCAAACAGGTGCACATGCAAAAACTCAGGTCCTTGAATAAAGCCAAAGTTTGGACATGGACAAACAACTATGACTTTCCGCCTGGGTTTACAGCCGGTGAACACAAGCAAAACAAACTAAACAAATCAGTTTTCAGCTGTCATGTGCCCTAAAGGGTGTCAAGATGTCAGCTAACCATTACATAAGCAACTATGCTGCCTTATTTTCTTCTGTTTTTTTTTTTTAAATAATGTCTTTTAATGGAGCATAGTTATTCAACCAAAACATGTCGTATCCTTTGTTAACTTGTTTCAGATTGTATGGAGATTGCAGATAGTTTTTTATAATATGAGGTAGCCAGGTACAATACATTTATTTAGCCACCACTTTCCCTCTTCAGCCACATGCTTGGTAACCATAGTAGTGTAAAGGCTAGATGATTATCTGCTGGGCTGGTTCATTGGTTTGAATTCGCACAATAGTTGATTAAAAAAATTTTTTTTGATCTTGGTTCCTAGGTTTACCCAGCCAATTAATGAGCACCAGCTATATCCTGGGAAGTAAAGTTAGCAGGCCTGATTTTAACATCACCGCCCAGGGAGTACTGATTGGTTTATAAATTATGAGCCTCATATCATTTGCCCTATGCGCCACCAGTGTAAAGAATAACAGTCCTTTAACTCTTTGAGTCCCAGGGGGGTTTAGCATCACATGCCCAAGGGGTAGTCAAGGGAGACTTAAAATCCGCGCATCTTGCGTTCATTGGGCTTCTAGGTAGGAATCTATGAACGTATGCCGCGTTCCTTGGGACTCAAAGAGTTAAGGCATATAGGTTACAGTGTTACTGTTCATAGTTTCCCACATGATTATGTAATAAAGGTCAGCCCCTTCTTACCTGTGTAGGACTGCAGGTAACACTGGTCTGATGCGGCTGTTATGGGTGCCTCATTTATAACTTTTCTTTTAAGGTTAACATGGCATCTGCGAAAGCTGCCCTAGTCAACAAGTGAGCAGCCATGTAATGCTGGTCAACCCTCAAGAGGAGGTCAGGGCAGCTTTCCACTCAAGAAAGCTTCCATCAATGATGAGCTGATACATGGTGCTCTGGTAAGAAACTCAGCCAAGTGATCGTCACATCCCGCCTATGACTGCTTCACTTCACTTCAGTATTCTGTGCCTCTCTCTCCTCATGGGCTGCACCTTCAGAGGCCAGCAGGAAGCAATCTACAAATCAGAGACTTTGATGGCCTTCACTTTCAGAGTCAAACTGCTCTTATAGTGGACTTCAGTGTCCAACATAATTTCATACTGTGATTTCATTTTCCAGACGGATGCTGTGGTGCGTTCAGTGATGCAATACAAAGACAGATTCAGCCATTTCATCTATTTTAGATGGCATGCTTCAGATAAGACTATCTCTGGTGATACTGATACTCTGATAAGTATGGCCACTGTTAGCAGATGTGTGAACTTTTCTTTTCTATTCAGTATAATTGCTTTGTATATATTCTTATTAAACTAGAGTCTGATTCAACTGAATGTCCAGTCTTTGCAAATACCCCCATCAGGACAAGATTTTATTTAAAGCAGTGTATGTGGGATATCACAGATGATGCACACTTGCGAGTAGCAATATATGAGTTTTAAGGAAATGGCAGAAGCACAGGATACAGCTGGATCAGTAGCCACAGTAATCTATTATTTAATCCATTTATAGTAGAAAAAAACATGGAAATGAGATGTTGAAGGGCTGCAAGAGTGACTAGAAAAGATAAAATCATGAAGTCGTAAAAGAAAAGTCAGCATAGAACCAACACTAAATCACATACAAAGACAGCAAATAAAATAGATATACCAAAAGAGAAGGACACAGAGCACGAGGTAGACCCTGGACAAGATGAAAAGATAACATCAGAACAATTCTACAGCCCAAAACGTCTATGGTCGAAGTGGCCTTGGAGCAAAAACAAGAACCTTTGATATCTCTACTGACACCTGCAGCGGTAAAAGAGGAGGTAATGAAGAATAATATAGTGTGAAAAAAGAGCCTGGCTGCACACTGATCAGTGCATTTGCCTGCTGAGATAGTGGTCTGGATTAAATCTTTGGTAAGGTCAGATTTTCTTCCAACCAGTACAACTCTGAGGTTTAAACCGCTATGTAAAGATAGGTACCAGATAATTTTCAGAATTTTTCTTATAATTATGTTACGGCCTAAAATCTGTTTAAGCATAAAGTCGAACATCTCAACTACTTTTACCCTTATGCTTCTTAAAAAAAGGTTAATATTGCATATGATGCTAAACTCATATTTGTATACACGTACTGCCAGCCCTTGCTGGCTGATGTAGCCAACATCACACCTCTGCTTTTACTTCCCAGGACATTATCTACTTCTCCTTTCAGACTGAGTTGACGTGGAAGATAAAAAAGTTTGAAAAGAAATCTACCACAGTGCAGATTTAAACCCCACATCTTTTGGCCAAGAGGCGAGCATCTACTACACTACTGCTTACCTAACCCCGTTAGTATAAAACATTAAAAAAAAAATAAAAAAAAAATATCCTTACTGTTTCCCAGATATCAAGATCTGTAGTGGCATTCTTCTCAGCGATGTAGCAGGTATGTGGGTTATTCTGCTGATAGAAAAAATCTTTGCAACATGAAGCAGGCACTGGTGCAAGGCCCACATAGTCTGTTTGATTGGCTGCAGCATTTAATGTGAAATCGTGCCAGCTGGACTGATTATAATCTGATGGACTATCAGCTCCACAGCACCTCAGCTGTTTGGAAAAGAAAATATACTGAATTACATGCTATTCCAAATTATGTAAATGGTTTTGGTGCTTTATTAATATTCTACCCCAAATAGGGGAGATCCACAAGTCACGGGACAGTCTAATATTTCAGGGGGTGGTAGATAGGCTGGATGCAGTTATGGAACCTTGGCTGCACTCTCTCATGGGACGTATGTGGGTTGGGGTTAAGGCCAGTTCTAGATGTTTTGGGGTCGTTAAAAATATCACAAAGCCGGGAAACCAAGTCTTACCACCCTCTAAAATGTTGGACTGTCCTGTGTCATCATCTGGGGTAGGATATTAATAAAGCACCATGGTTTTTAGTTTTGTTAACTGCTTATAAAGTTACTAAGTGCATGTTATTTCTAGTACATAAATTATTTAAAGAAGAATGTGGTTTTAATATGTTTAAATTAATTATTGTTGCTTAATTTAGCAGGAGATGTGTAAAGGAAATAATGTAAGAAAAGAGCGATAAAAAGAGTAGAATATTACATGGGCTGCAAGACTTAATTCTTAACAGTTTGAATGTGAAGTTTGATTGTCTAATTGGTCATTGTGCGTTAAAAGTGTGGATGCCAAATTTCCAGCTTGCTTGAAATAAGTTTGTGTTTCATCTCTGATAGTTTAGGATAGTAAGAGAGACAGAGATTTTACATGAAGCTAGAACAGTAGCAGATGATAAATTATAAGATGCCTCAAGATATAGAGAATAAGGAAGATGGATTTTATAAGATACTATAATGTTTTTCTGGAGGATATAAAATGCTGATTTTATAAGATATTATGAGGCATAGAGTAACAAAGGCATATTTTATGATTTGTTCTTCTTGTTTTTGTTTGTTCACTGGCTGTTAACTCTGGTGAAAAGTCTTGGTTATTCGTCCATCTGGCATGGTGCCAGGGCATGAGTTTTGCGTGTATATCCATTTTACTAGCTTATTTTTGTGCAATTGGTTGTTCCTTGCCACTCAGACAGATGCACTCTGTCTTCGAAGAAATCCCAGTTAGTCGACTCTAAAACATTCTTGTTGGGAGGCAGTGGGTCTATTCTTGTTTTCCCATAGTGGGGCCCCAGAACCCTCACATGAATTATAAGATATATCCTTTACTTCCTAGAACTGCACCTGGTACCCACTCAAGGCTGGATCGACCTGGAAATCAAGGTCATTATTTTTTTTAAAGTCTGGCTCCGTCAACAGAGTAAAAAAGGCTGATTTTATGATTTCATAAAATACTAGATAAGAAATTACAAGATACCTGAAGACAGTGAGGATAAAGAAGACTGGTTTTTATAAGATTCCATAAGGCACAAAGGATATGAAAGGCTGTTGTTATGATTTTAAAAGATATTGTGAGACACACAGGATAAGAAAGGTTGATTTTATGATATTAAAAGATACTACAAGGCACAAAGGATTTTTTTAAAAAGCTGATTTTATAATTGTATAAGATACTTTTAGGTATAGAGGAAACGCAAGTCTAATTGTATGCAGCACAGTGGCACAAAGGATAATAAAGGCTAATTCAATCATTTTATAAGATAAGTTTAAGGCACAGATGATAAGAAAGTCTGCTTTTATATGATATAATATCAGACACATAGGACCAGAAAGCCCGACTTTACAAGATGCCAAAATACAAAGAGCACACAAGTGAATTGATAAAATATTAGAATACACAGATAGTAACAAAGCCTGAATTTAAAATGCTGAATAATACAAATCTGCAATGGATACAAACCCGTGATTGCACAAAATTAACAGCACGAGTGATTCGGTGTGTACTGTCATCTTGATAGGTTGAATTAATGATTTTCTTGAGAAAGCTATTTCCAAGTAAAGTGTTGTGCAGCTGTAAAAAAAAAGACACGTAATACGTCAAATCATTAAAAACTAAATTACAATTAGTTTGTGAGTTAGATGATTGGTTATTTAGTTAGTTATCAAGTTAGGTAGTTAGCAAGTAAGTAAGTTTGTTTGTTAAAGAATTAGTTTGTTTGTTAGATAGTTTAATTAGCTACTTGGTTAATTAGTTAGCTAGTTACAAAGGTCGGTAGTTAGCAAGCTAGTTAGTTGATTTACCATTTTCACTGCACATCAAACCAGTCATACTGAACTATATGTGTAGAACCAACTGAGCCAATTGATCTATAAGCAAGTAACAAATCAGAATCCCAGCAATAATTTATTTTCTTCACCGCCCTACTTTCTAGGAGAGTAATTCACAGCTATTTGTGTACCCGACAGGTCATTTACCTCACTTCAGCGCACAGTTTGTTTTATCTAAGCAGACTCTATGGAAGCTAATAGTCTCCATCTATCCAGGGATCATCAATTTCAGCTTCTGTCATTAGGCACTGTTGGGAGGAACAATTTACGATCCATTGCTTGATGGGCAGCAAAGGCTATTGTCATTCCGTGTTAATGTGTGTGTGTTGTCCATCAAGATGATGACCACTCTTTTTCATCAAGTATGAGTACGAAGATGACTGATGAGGCCGATGTGGGCCCGAAAAGTTCTTGGACAGTGAGGACAGTGAATGAGTGTTGTGCCAGGGAGGAGATCTCCTGCAGTCGTCTTTCTGTCCATCCTTTTCTTAATAAGTCTTGCTGTCTGTTTGCTTCACATGTAACCGCGCCCTTGTGTAGAGCTGCACGCCATGCATTTCGGTCTTGAGAGGCAGCCTCCCAATTGGTTTCTTGTGCCCACCTTAGGAACGTTTCCTATTTTGCAGCTCACCATAGCTCTGTGTTAATATAGAAGAACTTTAATGTCATCAGTCCATTTCTCCTAGGGTGGCCTCTTGCTTTCACTTCAGATATTTTCATGTGTAGTGCCTGTGTTGATAGTTGTTCTGGCTGCATGCTTACTAGATGACAAAATCATTTGACCTTCTGTTTCTCAGTGAATTTGCTACATGGTGTTGTTCCTACAGTCTGTCTGATAATATCATTTCTAACTTTGTCTCGCATTGTTAAGTTTTCTCAGACATCTCATTTCACAGTTGTTAATTTTACGTAGGTTAGCCTTTGATAATGCCAAAGTCTGGCACTGGTAGCACAGTGTTGGTATAAAAGTGCTGTTTATATTCGGTTTCTGTGTGCTCATACTTATGTTGGATGTCTTAATAATGGTGTCAGTTGGTATATAAGTGCACTAGCTCATTGGCATCTTATTTCTATTTCCCAATCTATTCTCCCATACTGTCTCATCCCATGCCTACTATTTGGGTTTTCCAGTTGATGTAGGAATTTTTAACATGCACAGTTTGTAAAGAGACCGTTTGTTCCCTGCTTTTATTAAAGACGTCTAGTAGTTAACAGTCCGTGAGATCAGGGAAAATGTGTTGTCGTTAGACATCAATTGTTCTTGTAAAATGACTAGTCCTATCATCAATCAGGTGCCATCTCCACCAAGAAGGTTGGTTGCAAAGGCTCTCCAACATGTTCTGTCTCTTGTCCTGGTTGTACACTCTCTTAGACTATTGTTTGTCTATCTCTTGATGCTATCCTCTCACTTATATCATTGTCTACCTCTTGCTCTCTTGCCCTCAACCTTTCCCTCCAGTATGGTTTTTCAAAAACATATTATGTCTTTTAATGTGGCCAAAATATTTCATTTGCCTCTAGTTCTGTACTTTTAATTTAAATAAGATACTCCACTTGTAGATTTTGGGGCTCTAATGTGGAGAAAACAAGAATAGACCCACAGCCTCCTCAACAAGTATGTCGTAAAAGTGGACTAATTGGAGGCTTCCTTCAAAGGCAAGAGTGCATTTGCATGAAAGCCTAGGATGCCAACAATCTGCATACAAATAAGCCAGATCTGTAAAACTAATGTGCATGCAAAACTCAGGTTCTGAAACAAGACTTAACTCTTTGAGTCCCAGAGGGTTTAGCATCACAGGCCCAAGGGGTAGTCAAGAGAGATGTAAAATCGACGCATCATGCATTCATCGGGCTTCTAGGCAGTAACCTATGAATGTATGATGCCTTTCTTTAAGTCCAGAGGTGGACAACAGTCAGAACTTTCTTCTGGAGTTTACAGCCATGAACACATAAAACAACAAATCTGATACTTTCAAGCCTGGGATAGACACCAGACGTTCTCAGCCATCCCCCCCCCCCTCCCCTCCATTCTTATTCAGATAAACAGAGTAAACCAGAGGTTACTAAAGATTTAAACCCTGCAGATCCCTCCACCTCCCCCACCCCCTCCCCCTAGGTTTGCCATGGACCTGAAACTTTTCTTTTAGTAGCCATACTGAAGAAGTTAATGAAATTTATGAATATCAGAATTGCAATTTTGGAGTTACTCGTAGGATCAACTTGCCTATTATTTGCATATGATTCAGATTTTGTTGGTCAAATAAAAAATGTTTCTGGTATCTTTAACTTGATGCTCTCCACATGGCTTCTTGCAATTTGTTTGGTTGTTCCCCAAGCTAAAATCCACATTTAGCTGAATTTTAGTTCAGAAAAAGATATTGTTTAAAGCACAAAGGCTGAACTATACTTTTTCTCAAAGAGGTTTTCAGAATGTTTCTCCAACAATAGCGGACTACTTGGAGAAAAGTGTCCAGTCCTAAGAAACCACTTTAAAAGTTAGTGAGTTTCAAATCTTCATGTGGATAATTATGTTTTTATCAGCCACAGATTGTGTACTTTTGGCATCCCTTACTGGTAGACAATCTAATATAATCTATCTGTTTTCTATTAATAAAGAAAGAAATAATGTAAGACAGGCATCAAGTACAACAGCAAAAAAGCATTCAAATAATGAAACAGTTCCTTACCTCAACTCTGTATATAGTACCATAAACAACAGCAGCAACAGTCAGGAAGGCCGTTAGTACTAGAGTCATCAAATACTGAGAAGAATTAAAAAAAAAAAATCAATAAGTGGAAGAAGGCTTATGAAAGGTGTTACAAGAATTCTTCACCATTTATTTATTTGAAAATTAGAAGACAAATCTGTAAATTTATGGTTGATTTTCCCGTTTTCAGATTCAATGTCCAAACTACCACTTCTCACTGCAGATGGTGATTTGCACCTTCCTCCGTCCAGAGAAGCAAGAAGGTAAGCGGCTACATAATGTATTGTGAAGAATAATAAGTCCGAACACAGGTGCCATACAGGATCGACTAGTTAGCATCATCATGTGCCTTACAATGTTGTATAATTCTCCAGAGGTCTCAGGTGTCTGTAGCATTCCTAGACACATCTGGTCAAAATTGAGTTTATGTTCGTCCACCATTGTGGATTTCAAGGCCCTAATTTTTGGGAGTCACTAACCCTAACAAAGTCATAGCAGGTAACTAAGTGAGGGTTTACTGAAATTAGATGTTTTGGGCTAATAGGCACAGATATTGCAGATATTGTGGCCTTTATTGCAAATGTTAAACCAAACCACATAGTACAAACTGCCCTTTCGGGGGCACACACAGAAGAAGAAACAGAATTCACTCCTGCCAACATTTTCTTCTATAAACATTCAGAAGGAAGAAACGCTTGACTTTTTTTGTTTTTGTAATCAACTCACCATTGCCAGCATCCATTTTACTTTCAGACATCCTCCAATGAGACCACAGATGGAGAAAACGGTGATAACTGCAGACAGAACCAATGACATGTAGATGAGGATGAGGTAATGGTTAAATGTTGGGCTCACGATGACATAACCATTTGTCCAGAAATCCAAACGCAGCCACAGCAGCAGGCCACAGACAGCAGCACTAATCACCTGCAAGCACAAAAGGACACATTTTACAGAAACGTTAGATTTGTAAACAAAAGTTGTCTTCTTCTTATGAAATATTACATGTGCAGGATGCTTGTCATATTGTGACTGTCGCCTCCTTTGACAATGGATTTAAATTCTAGTGGCAGGCAGCTGATGTTGACACTCTGAAGGCATGCATTTTTTTAGGAATCATTGTGCATACGTTTTGTGGAACAGATATGTGCATTAACATTTTGGAACACATGAATAAATTGTGTGTGTGTGTGTGTTGTTGCTCAAAGCCCCATCCTGGCTGTTGTCAGGGGCCCCAATATAACCCAACCTGTGGGTTAAACAGGGTTTATGGGGCATGTCTCTGGGTGATTCTCATCCAAATGGTGCCACTTGTCACACTGGGTTTTTATCGCTTGGTGTGATGTCCTGTTGGTGTTCAATGTCGTCATCATCATCACTGATTTACAAATACTTAGAGCAACCATTTGTCCCCGGTTGCTGAGATACCTCATATTATATCTTAACAAATCAAATAATCTGATCATGTAAAAATGTAGTCTTTCTCTTCATTCTCTTTCTCCTTTCTCTTCTTTTTCGTCTTTTGCTCCATTTACCTCAGGGAACTATTCAGAAAGTAAGTAAAGACCTTCAGCGTGTTCTTTCTAACTTGTATTAGTCGTTTTTCAATTCTCTAGCACAGATAATGATGCTGTTGCTTAATTTTTTTAACAGTATTTCACTGATGCGTTTTTATATTTTTTCACAGTAACCCAGAAACACTCATTAACAAGTGTCTGTGCAGAATAGAAAAAATTAAATCGTATGATAGAATCACTAATGTGTAACTTTGCAAATTCCAGTGAATCAATGTTGAATGTTGAATTAAGAGTCAACATCATAGCATTCAGGCTACTCCCATTAGCGCTCCATCCTCACCTTGAGTAGCATGCCAAGAGTTGCCGTTCCGATGGTACCAGTAACTGTCTGATTGTAAATCCATCTTGCCTTTCCGTTGAGTGTTGAGCATCATCAAATCCCCTGGTAACTCCCCGCAGCGCCATTCTCCTCAGATCGTAATGATCTGTTTATGCTTTTGCACTGTTCACTCACTCCCAAAGGGTCCCCAAAATATCTAGCTTGTAATACATGAGCAATTCTTTGTTCGTTAGTTCACCAGCAAGTGGTGCAGAACCCGGCCTTAAGGAAAAAGATGCTGGCATTGGATAAGATACACACTGATCAAACCTGAGGACAATACAATTAGAAAGGCTTTACACTGGAACACAAAGAGGCTTAGAAATAAAAGCAGATAAAAAAAATCACATACAGAGGGGAACTAGAGAGTGAACAGAAAATGATGGAAGGAGATGTGGTGAGCTGATTGAAATAGCAAGGGACAGGATGACGTGGCATGAGTTGGTTGAGTGCTTATGCTTCACTGGGGGATATCTATCTATCTATTGTCTTCTTCACTTTTACCGGGTTGCAGCCCAGTGTCGTGGTTTAAAATATTTGTTTTGTGCCTCTCACGTGATCTGAGTGACAGTTTTCTGGATCTTCTGGCCGTATTCAGCTACTCCATCTATCCATTTTTTCCTGGGTCTTCCTCTGGCCTTTCTTCCCGATGTTCTACTGTAAAAGGCCTTATAGGCAATCTGATCCGGTTGCATTCTTACTAAATGGCCAAACCACTTCATTCTCTGTCTTTCAATATGTTCCATGCATGCTCTTGTTCCAACTTTGTCTCTAATGCTGACGTTTGTGACTCTGTCTCTTCGTGTATTGTTGGTGACTCTTCGGAGACATCGCATTTCACACGTAGTTATTTTTTGCATATGTGATTTGTTCATTGTCAACGTTTGGCACTGATAACATAACGTAGGGATGAAAATGCTGTTGATCATCCGTTGTTTGGCTGGTAACGAGATCTTTGGATGACAAAGAAGTGGGGCCAGTTGGTAGTTGACTGCATTGGCTTTTTGAACTCTAGCCTGTATCTCTTTATCGAGTCTTCCATCTTCTGTAAATATGCATCCTAAGTACTTGAATTCTTGAACTTCTTCTAATTGTATGTCATTGATCTTTATGTTTACATTACTGTGTTTCTTTCCTATGGTCATTACTTCAGTTTTTGAGGTGTTTATTTTCATGTCAAATTTTGTACAGTTAGTGAGCAATGAATCAACATGTTGTTGTAGTTTTTGTTCTTCTTCTTGTAACAAACATTGGTTATCTGCAAAGAGTAGTTCATTTATAATATCTGTGTTTTGGTTTGACTCCTGTGCTTTTATCCATATATGTGATGAAGAGTAGGGGTGATAGGACACACCCTTGTCGTACTCCTGATGTAATGGGGAACCAGTCTGTCATACCTTCCGTTGTTCTTACAGCGCTCTGGCTATTTTGATAGAGAGCCATTTTGTTTCCCAATAATTGACCCGGTACACCATATTCTTCAAGAATGTTCCTGGGGGATAAAGAGTATAAAAAGAAGTGTAGCTTCCTGAAGTTGAAGCACCTGATACCATTCTTGAAAGGTGGCCAAACAATTTATTATATGTTGTTATATTATTAAAAGACAGCAACCCATAAAGAAGCCTAACATGAGTTCCAGGTAATGTCCTGATAAGTAATGTGGCCAGCGTGGTGTTGACCTTACTCATCGTGTGAGATATAGCATGAAGAAAAGTTCCTTGTTCTGTTTTATGTTTAATTGTGTGGGTTCAGGGGCATGTTGGTACCCCCTACCCCCAACAAGCATGTCACAAAGGAAGAAAAATTAGGGTTTTTTCCTTTAAAGTAACTGCTTGAAAAGCGATGAAGCAACAGTCTGCACGCAGATAAGCCAGACCTGTAAAATGGGTGTGCACACAAAACTGAAGATCTGGAACAAGAGCACTTTGTGCCGGATTCTGCAGCCAGTGAAAATTAATAAGAAGAGGAGGCTTTATGCTATAAAAAGCTCTGTAATTTAGACACAATAAAAATCTTAAAATTAAACTGGCAGTTCACTATATCTAAGTCATCCCCATGTGGAATGCCATTTTTTTGTTTTTTTGAAGCCCTGCCCTGGCTTCTGCCGGGTGCCCTGAATATAGCCAAGCCATACATGTGGCCTAGGCCATAGATATGGCCCAGCAACTGAAAGGGGTTTCTGGGACCGCTCCACAAGTGATTCTCATCCGCATGGTGGCGCTTTGTGATGTCCCGGTGGGGTACAAATACCTACCTACCTAAAAGTTCACAGAATACATGAGGTATTACAAATACCACTACTCATTAAGCTGACACTAACTGTCTATTCCTAACCAGGCATTGATAAATGAAAGCTTATAAATAATTTCCAAAATATAAAGAATATGCTTTGTGAAATTTAAAACAGGAACAAGCATAGTTATTTTTGGGGTCAAATGATAACATAAAAATTTTTAACGAAAATTGTGATGACTGGAAAGATTAGTGTTAGAAGAGGAAAAGGCAGACCAAAAGAAAAAAATCTGGATGGTATAAGATTGTGTCAGGAAGGAATATCATCAATTGAACTGATTCAGAGCATCAGTGAGATTTGTGGAGAGACTTGAGCGTTTACACCCTTTGGCACGGCAAGTGGGATGACAATGATGATGATGTCAACAACGATGATGGTGGTGATGATAAATTGTATCAGATTCTAAACATTACTTTGAGGAGCTAACGGTCACAGGAATGGTTCATTCTGCTCCTACGCCTGGGTTGCAGAGCCTCACCTGAGGGTGGGATGGCAGATCAAGTCCTCCCTAACAAACTTGTGGTAAAAGGCGGTGTGATAGGTGTAGACATCACTGTCTAGCTGTAAACACCCACACAACGTGACAGCTACCCTCTTCAGGGCGATCACAGAAGTATTAGTTCATTCTGCATTACTTGCTAGCTGACTAAATAGATCACTTTTATTTATATTGGACATGAGGAATTAAGTATTTCAAGTGTTTCTAGCAAGTTCTGCAGTTAATTAATGTGCAAGGTTAAGTAGTACTAATTGTATACACTTTATACAACTTCTTATTTTAACCAAGCAATTAGCAATGAGTTTATTGATTAATATTCTTAACTCCAAATGCAACATCTTGTGGTTAAACTTACAAAGTCTTTCATAAAGAAGAAGAAACCTGGGGTGGTAGGCGTCCTCGCAAATATTAGAAAGTTGTGGGGCATGGTGGGGGTGTGGGGGGCAGCTTACACAGCCCGCCCCTAAATCTGTTAGTGGGCAAGTTGCCTTATCCCAACCTTCCAGCTATGTATATAAGTTGTTTATAAATGTGTGTTGTGTTTATACATTTATTTCATATTATAACATAAACATATAATATTTATTTGCCAATCAGCACACTGTTATTATTATTATTTTTTACATTATTATTATTTATATGCAATAAACAATGCTTAGTGCGTTTGAGACCCCACCCCCGCACACAGACACTCACAAAACACAAGTTTTCTAAATTTCCACAAGTACTTTTATTACTTCTGGCTTATGCTATTGTTACGTTAACCCCTTTGGACCGAAACATTCATTAAATAAATTAACGGTTTTCTGCAGTAACATTTTTCTGGGACTGGAAAATATTAAGGAACACAAGCGTTAATATGTTACGGGTATTTACATTATTAGTGCTTCTAATGAAGATTGATTTATTCCATACGGTGCGTATTTACTGTGTAAAGGACCCTTTTTCGTGCCTCCAGGCGTGTTGGGCATATAGCGTGAGACCTGTACCTTATAGATTATTTGGAACGCAGTGGGTGATGCAGTTAACATCAAGTCGGTCACCTTTACTTCCCATGAATAAAACTAATATTCACTTATGGCTGAGAGCCACGGTCAGTTTTGAACTCAGTCTGGATCCACCAGGACCTGAACCCCAGAACATCAGATCCACAGGCTCTACACTACAACAACTCCCATACTTAACTGTAAAAACTGCCATCTGTGCCTGCATTTACCACAGGGGTCTTTGAGTGTCAGG